GCTGTAATCATAGTGAACTACATTCATATGAAACAAATCTATGATGAACAGTCATAGAGAAACCTCATTTATATAGTCTAAAGAAAGTGTTGCTACACTTTGTGTTTTTTTCAGACATCTATTGATTTCATAGGTTCATTATAATATAAAATACCTGACATACACAATTTAAGAATAAATAGTTTATTTTACCTTATGGTATGTATTATGGAAGTATGGGGCAAAATGTACCAGAAAAGAACAGAAAGGGAAAAGATTGTCCATATTGTCACTGCTCCATGATGCACCTGAATCCATCAGAAGTATGCTCTATCCACTCTACATGCCAAACAAGATACTGATCAAGAGTATCATATGATACCTGGTAGGATTTTCTTTGTAGGGATATATTAATGTGTTGAAGGACAAAGGATTTCAACTTGTGAGGAGTGAACTAAAGGACATAGGGTGTTTAGAGTCTGAAAATATTTTCCTCAACGGGAGGAGTTGGATGTATTTAATTGTGTGCTTTTAACACTTTTTTTTTATTAACATGAGTAAATTGAGAGATGCAATGTGAAAAAGTTTTGACTATGAAACCAACTATCTTACTGCATGTTTTTCACCTCTTTTATTAACCCTTCCTCTATCCCATAGTGCACTGGCCTTGCTGAGACTCATGGCATTTGCTCAGTGATTTTTTTCCATGGTGTATTAACTATGAAATTGTTTTAGCATTCGTGTGACCACATTTTAAGGATCAGCACACACGAACAGCCACTGATTGTAATAAAAATGCACGAATAACTAGGAGTGGTGGTGCACACTTGTAAATCCAGCAGTAAGGAGGCTGGTGAGATCAAGGCCACTTAGGATCTAGAATGAGTTTAAGAACAGACATGAGGCCCTGTTTAAAACAGAACAAAATAAACAACCGGCAGCTCTGACAAAAGCTCTCCTTAAATGCATTTTAGGCAGGATGGTATGCTGGGAGAGAAACTTTTCTACAAGTGTCTGGGTTACACTCTACCATTTGAGCACCACTCACGTTAGTAGGGATTTGTTTCTCTTGTCGCTGTGTTTCTGTTGCCACAGCTCAGAGGGCAGACTGTGAAGTGGGAGCAAATCAGTGTTAAAGACGAAAGCTGTAGGAGCTGTCCAATCAGGTGGGCCAAGGGAGGCGGGCTCTATTTCTTGGCTGTAAAGCCCAGATCGTGAGCATGTTTTTGAGCCAGCTGACCTAGCTACATTGCTTTGCATTAGGATTTTTACTGGCTGCATCCCGCGTGCAGAGGACCTTGGAAGACCCTCAAGCCACGCAATGGTAATAGTGTGGGATGGGTGCCCTGAGACGGGACGGATTGGGATGTCAGGGGTGAGGTTAACCCGGAAGTGGTAGGAACCAGCAATGGCGAGCCGGAGCCTCCTTGCAAGCTGCGGAGTTCTGAGTTTCTCCTCCTTTAGCGCTGTGTAACCTCTGAGCCTCCGGCCTTGGACCTATTTTGGGTACCCAGTACAACATCTCCCCAGAATTACCCCATCAGCCAGGAATGCAGTCTCAGGCAGCCCCAGCCGTCTCCACCTGTGTGGGGAGAGTGGGAGCTGTGAGAAGATTCAAGTGAGGGTTAGAGCCGGAGGAATTATAGTGTGCTAGTTCCATAGTCTCATTCCTTCCTCCAGAAGAAATGGTGGACCTCACTTTTATATATGTCAGTGATACAAGATCTTAAACCAACAATTTAGCCCCTCAGACCAATGTCCCTTCATGAGGAGAATGAATTCCAAAATTACAAAAATGTCCACATGTCACACTCATGACAGTTGATGAATGTCATGAGAATTCAAAGATAGGTTTATCATTCTTGTTGTGACTCAGTGCTGTAGAACTTGCCATGAATGCAGTGAACTTCTCTGTCATGTGCACAGCAATCAAGACAAGAATTATTATCTTAATGTTTTGATGGTGCCTTTTCTAACAGATGGTTTAAGTGAGGACTTTTCATAGAGTTCAGAATGCTGAACAACATGTTATTGTGTTAGCTGAGGCAGGAAAGGCTGTTCCTGCTAAGGAGTGTTTCTAGAGGGACTACCTGTTTGAAATTTATTGAACTTGGGCAGCAACAAGGAGGTGTGATTTGGTAGGAGTGGAAAGGGAGAAGGGGGTCATCTCATTAATTACCATAGACATTAGGCTGTGTAGACAATGTTTTAAAAGTTGAAATCTCCTTTGAGGTGGGCTTTATATTAACTAGGGGTAAAGCCCTAAATGTGAGGTCTGTGGGCATAAGAATGCTTAGGAATAAAGGTTTTCTCTGTTGGGATGAAAAAGAAAGTCAAAGAGAAGGTGATGGTAAGGATGACAACCACATCTACAACAGAGAAAACATTCTCCTTAGGTCAGAGTTTGTTTTGTGTGACATACAAGAATTGTGCTATGGCTCAAATCTAAGAATGGGTCAAAGAACACAGGCCTTAAGGATAAGTAGTCAGAAGTTAGATAAAATTGTCCTGTTACCACTAATCAGTTAACCTAATAATTTTTGAGGAAGAACTGTAAGTTAGAAGAATGTTCTTGTTGTAGGCTTAAGTGTTGGGTATGATCATCTAAGTGGGATGGGAAGAGATTTCTCCGCCATACAAAAGATTGCAAAGCATGGTTGATGTTCTTATTGCACTGAGGGTTGCACCCAGGACTTTGCTCTGAATTATGTTCCTTACCCTATGTAATATTTTGTTTTTTAAATTTAAGACTAGGCCTTACTAAGTTGTCCAGGCTGCTGTGAACTTCTAATTTCATTCTAGCCTCCTGGACTCATGAGATTAAAGACATGTACTAACATGTCTAGCTAAGATGCCAGTTCTTTACAGCTATAACCAGGATTGAAATGTTTGATTAAGTGAAACTTTAATGAAACATGGTTGCACCCAACTTTCATCCTAGCATTGGGACACTGAGGCACAGTATTGCAATTCTGAAGACAACCTGGACAATGGAGCAAGACACATACCAACATAAAGTAAAAATACTGGGGCTCTATTGCCAATTTAATGTAATTTGTGCAACATCCTCAAGCCCTGAGTTCAGTCTGCCAGTACCAATGAATAAAAGAAACAGTGGTTAGTATTCAATGGAAAATTTACTTCAGTTTTTGAATTTTATTGTTTGCACAGAAGTGGTATATTCACAATATTTGCTCAAGATGCTGAGCATAGCAATGAATCTCTGCTCTGTTAGTATGATAGGACACCAAATGTAAACAGCCAGAGTGGTCCTTTGTAGAATATGAAACTCACTAGTAGTTTTCTGTGTTGAGCAATGTATTACTTAGGTTCTCTTGAGGAACTGAGACACAGAATGAGTGGTTTGGATAAGAGAGCGTTACTCTGGGTTTGTGCTGGATGGTCATTTATCTGTATATTTTGTTTTATAGATTATTGTACATCCCTTTACTCTTACTGTCTACCTTGCTTTATCAGGACAAGGCAATAGGATAGAAATTGTCAATAAACAGACAGTGCCGAGCAATTTAACCACAACATCCCAAGAATATATAATGCAAAAGGAAAAACATTCCCCCTTGTATTTTATGTCGATTCTGGGAACCCTTCTATCTGCCTTAATTTTGGAGAAAATATTTGATTTTCCATTTTGCTCTATCTTGTTTTCCAATTGCCTCTTCCTTACCCTTAATAGGCTGAGGTTATGTTTGTCTAGCATAGTCTCCTCCAAGTCTTGGGACCATTTTTCCTTTTTAGTGACTTACATTTCTCTAGGTAACAATGTAACTATAAGACTTTGCTGTATGTTCCCTATGTAGCTGGATCCTACAATCCCTGAAATTCCCTTGAGTTCAGAATTCCTCAAACTCTGTGGACAACTGTCTTTTGTTTTTATTTTGGAGGCGGTCATGGGAATGGCCAGTGGAGAAGAGCACAGCTGGGATAAAGCACAGAGCTTTAGTTCAAGGGACTCTTAGTCTGGCTTTAGACTCCCAGTGTGTAACATCATAGCACACCAAGCAAAGGGTCCTTTTCTGGTTTTAACTTTACTAGGATCTGAAAGGCAGCTTAAAGAGGAGGACCAGAAGAGAGAATGTACTCAAGTATAGACTGGAAATTATTTGGGTTGGATCACTCAGCTTGGGTTTCGGTGTAGAGGCAGAGAGATGGCAGCTCTTGAACTCTTCCTTTTGTTCTCTCAGGATTCCATACCACTCAGGAGCTTGTGTGTTTACTGAACCTGCTAAAGGCAGAAAAATTCAGCCACTGGTGATTTCAAGTTTCCAAAAATGTGTGGATTCACTGTAGCCCCTTATTTGCCATTTTCACAGATAGGAGAAAGCATGGTTTTTGAGTTCTGTTAATGACGTAAGTGCCACAGGAAACATCTTTTTTTTTTTACTGTACTAAAAACAGATTTGAGAAAATGCCATAAATGCTCAAGAGCATGTTTGCTAGTTCACAGAGTGCATATCCATTTAAAACCTGATATGCACTATTCATTCTTCCATCACCAGTAGGCAATAATTTCTATTTCTCATAATCAACAACACTAGAGTATTTCAGACTTGATAAATTTTATGAATATGAATTGAGATTCATTTCCATTTTTCTGTTTTTTATAACATCTTTCTTTTAGGTCTTTATTTTTCTCTTTCCTGTGTAAGCCCTTGTATCAATTTTATATTTATATACTGACATGTGATGGGGATACTATTCAATTAAATTCTTTTTTCTGTATATTTCTGTGTCACTTTTAAAGAATAAAAATACCTTCTGCAATTTTTCAGCTGCAGTTTAATTTCATCAATGATTTTCTCTGCTGAATAGAAATCCTGTTACATTTTTTCTTTTCAAAGTCATATTAACATTTTTGGCTTCAGAAATTTATCTCTGAAGTTTCTCCACTCTTAAATCAGAAAGTCGTTTTCTTTACTTTCTTTTATACTTCACATTTTCATATTTAGTCATATTTGAGTAGAGTACGTCTTTCTTAGTGATACAAAATTCAGTTTTACTTGGCCCATAAAGTGTACAACTTACTACCATTAATAAATGGTTAATTACCTCTTTGTATTTATTGGTACTACCAGCTTAAGCAAATCTCAGTTTAGAAGAAAGCAGTATTTTTTGATATTTCTTTTAAATTTACTGTGTCTACATATTGTCTGATGTTCAGATTTAAATAACTGTAACTTTATAGTGTCCCAACATATGGAAATGAATAAGGTTCCTCTTTATATTTATTTGAGATTTGAAAAATAATGTCTTATCCTGTGTTTTTTAAAAAAGGAATTCTAGAATGATTTTGTGACGTTTATTGTTGACTTACTGGTATTGTGTAGCACTATTAAGGATATACTTTGAAGTATTTATGGCATATCACATCATCAAATCTGTGTTTGTACCTTATTCTCTACATGTGTTAATCATGTGCTCCAATTATTTTCTTTTGGTTTTTTGAGAGAGGATCTGAATCTACAGTTCACTTGACCTGGAACTGACTCCATAGCTCAGACTGGCATTCAGCTTGTGGTGATCTCCCTTTTTCAGACTCCCTTGTACCAAAATGCCTGGCTATCAAATTTTAATCATGAGTAGTATTTTTGAATATGTTGCTGAATTTTAAAGAAGATGTTGATAATATTTTACAGAGATATACAAATGTCTGGCAGGGTATGAAGATTTCTAGGTGCCTACAGAATCCTTTCCTTGCAGTGATATATGAGGAAGATTTTCCTGCGTAAAACAAAATATTGGCATAAACTGAGAGAAGCAGTTGAATAGAAATTTTCTCTTTTCAAGGCTGACATTAGACTTGTTTACAAAAACTGGTACAACTTCAAATTTCTAATTACATGTATTTTTAAAATGAAGTAGTTGCTTCCCTGAAAGTTCATCATATTTACATGTCATAAGTAGATAGTTGCACTTTTATTTCTATTAAAATATTTTTTTATATTTTGACCTCTAGTAAATTTAAAAGTGATTCTTAAACAGATATAAACAAAAGATCTTTTGGTTTCTCTGTAGTTACTGAGTGTGTATTGGCTTTAAGAAAAAGATTTGAGAGCTTCTTTATAGTACATGCGGTGATTGGAAATCACTTAGTTTTTTTATACTATCATAGTTTTAGTGAGTAGTAAAACTGTGATAAACAATTTTTTCCAGTTAAACCTCTCCTGGCAAGATAGATGTTCTTATCAGTTTTCTCAAATGGTATATTTTGATAGTTTTATCATTTCTGGATAGTAATTTCATCTCCACCACTTCAGTGCTTAATATTACTTATTTGTCTTTCTTGCTTTACAATACCACACATGA